GCATTGAATCCAGCACTCGTTGGTGAGTACAGCGGGTTTGCGCAGCAACAAGGGCAAACGTTCTTGCCCAGACTGACATCAGCTCGCAAGAGCGCTGCCAAGTCAATATTGCGGCATGGCCTCGTTGGACAACAGCTTACTAGCTTTGCGAAGCACGTCATTGTCGGCATCCCAGACTACTTGACCCTCCTCAATCAGAATCTGCGGCAGGTGCACCCCCTGGCGGTCAGCGTGGCAGCTTGTCTCTGAGGTTCCGCTGTCGCCAACGCGCGAGCTGCCCTCGTCACAAGTCCTGCCCATTACCCACGACCATGGCACATCCTACCACGCATTCGAAAACCCTTCCGAAATGGGCTGCAAGCATCGACCCCTCAAGGCCCACGTCAAGGGGTGACAGCTGCGTTACAACAATTGCCACATGCACTCCAACCGCAAAGCGACAACCTCGATCGATGCGAACCGAAAAGGGAGCGAAGATGGTGGTAGAACAACGTGCAAAATTCTCCTGCGACATCATGGTCGCTGTGTAGGTTCTGACCGACAAATTGACAACCCAACGACAGTAGGAGCGCCAGGAAGAGAGGCATGAGTTTCGCCCCACGATGCCGGTACTGCAAGCCAAGACAAGACAGATTCAGTATGTTTCGTTCAATCGTCTGAAGCCTCGACCTACTGACGCGGCTCACTAGGGCATTTGCACTTTCCAACACATCTGCTACTGATGCAAACCTATTCGCCAAGACACCACCAAATGGCACGCCACAACTTCTGCCATTAGTTGTGATCGCGGCCATCCTGGACATTCGTCAGGGACATCAAGGCCGTCGATTCCAAGCTCATTACCTCGCCAATTCCGCGCACCTCATCAAACGGGTTCAGGAGTTCTGAGCGGCTGTCAAGGCGCAAACCCATTTCCGCCATTTGCCACAACCCAATCGTCTTTGCCAACGTGGAGTACGCCGACCTCAGTCCAACCGGCTCTCCAACTCGCCAATGGCAAGCAGTACAAGACCCTTGGATTTTGACATGACCACAATCGCGGCAGCGAGTTCCTTGAGGATGATAACTCACGTGAACCAATGGCCGCGCCAGGATTCAGTAGTTTTCCCAGAATCCTGGCTACTTGGTTGGCCGGAGCGACACGTTGCCAACACACTGTCATGGGAGGAAGGCACTCCAGGCAGCGACCGTACTGACGGCAAGAACGCAAGAGCTGTGAAACCCCCCGCCCAGTAAGTCGACCAACCTGGATCTACCTTTTCTCACTGACCGGTCGCAAAGGGAAGGCACTGGAAGCAACAAGCCCATCCACATGTCCGCCAGAGACAGGCACGCTACACGTGAGCCAATTGCTGTGCCAGGATATTTTTGACTTTACAATATCCTGACCAGCTGACTGGCTAACGACACATTTGCCTTTGTCACCAAATGCCCTCGAACATGACACGCCTACTGGCAGCCGTCGCCTGTGACTTGTCTGCGGCTTTGTCTCCATCCACCGCTCTCTGCCCTTGTCATCTTTGGCTGGGTATTTGCTTCGATCGCATTTCTGTCCGGATCTTGACACGCCCTTTGGATCATGTGTTGTTTGATGATGCAGCAGATCCGGGTGTGGGGACCCCGGTGGGAGTGTTGGTGCCATCTGTGGACATTGCAACAACAGTACCGGCTGCTGATAATGTCATAGGGGCGGTGTGAAGACTGGCAGATGCCAATCTGCCAGTTGTGCTGTCACTACGGGGCATGCAATGACTCCATTGACAGAGCGAGTTGTCTTCGAAGCGGCAGCCCGAATTCCTCGAGGCAAAGTTCAACGTCTTTCCAGGAAGATACCACGAGTCGGTCTGGCTAGAAGAAACTTCTTGGTCCGCCACAAACAGCCCCGACACACAATGATGCGGCTCCCATACAATGCCCGCAGGACAGCATTGCTCTTACGCCATGGCCGTGAGCTTCCAGCAGGTACGTCCTTCAATCTTCCAAAAGACTGCATCCTGCTCACAATACTCTACAGGCCCTTGACAGAAGCACAGCCTACCGCCATTGAACTTCGATCCCATCGAATCTTTACGCTTCCATGACGGACAGATGCCCAAGACATCGGACGCTTCTTGAAGACTGATCACAGACCGTGACCGTTGGGAGGTCTTTCGCTGGTTCAAAGGCAACTTACCTCTTCCACGACACATAACACGGACGAGCTGCACTTCATGGGGTAATATTGGTCTGGCAACCGAGCCGCATTGCGTCCTCCATACCGGCGCTGAAATGTCCAACAACCCCCGATCGCTCGAGGCTCACGTCACCCTGGTCCTGCAGCTACCGACTGCAGGGCGTTGGATGCCACATGGGGACATGGTCAATCCGCCTTCGTGTTCTGTCAGATTGAGTGGTACTCAGTCAATGCCGTGTCGCTCTATGCAAGAATTTTGTTTCAAGAACAATACGGTCATGGGGACGTTGCCTTTGTGACCACACAGCAAAGTATGTCCGTGGAAACGCCATAACTTTCCAGACGCTAACTACCTAGACAATACCCATTCTTTCTTCCACAGCTGGCACTTCGGATGCCCTACTCAGCTTCTCGACATTGAACAATGCCCCCGAACGTGAAGTCAGGCTGTTCCACTCGTCACAATTTCGAACAGACGTATGTTAACGAAAGCCCAAGCCACGACTTAATCTTCGTCTGAACGGATACATTTTGCGAGAAATGTCCGACCAGCCAACAGTCCGAGGAATCGCTACCACGCGTTTCTTGCTGGCAGTTCACAGCGCTCCGTGGCGGTATTGCAATAACACCAGGAAATACATTGTCTGGATATCACAGGTAGGTTCGAAGCCTCAAAGTCCGAAACTCTCTAACCTCGTTGGCGTGGTAGAGGACGCCAAGTTCTTCCAACCTCTTCCCGATGCGATCGTGCACAGGCAACGCTTATGTCAGGAGCTGGCTGGTCATGAGCTCGACCATCGCCAATGATGGAGCTGCGATTTCCCAGACTCCAGAGGCAAGAACTCGCTCAGATCGGAAGGAAGAAGAGCGATGAACAGGCGATGCCCAACGCATCACCTGAGCGAAACGACTTGCGCGTCTCTGTTCAACTTACACACATACGCACAACTCTGCTGGCCGGCCTTTGCAAGAACTGGGCCTTGGCGAATATCGACGCCTGCGTCTTGACTCCAGCTCTGGCACAGAAATTTGTGCTACACCTGTTAGATTCGTGACGGCACGACGCACCGCAGCTGTCGGGTCTGTTCTCTCCAAAGTCCAAGCACTTGACAGATAGTCAGTCGCCGCTCTACACTTCTATTCCTCCGACAGGCTATTGACGCGACCAATCCACCTCTTGATTCTCAGGCCCCAATCTGTCTAGCCCACTATTTCTTTTCGGTCTTGTGCCCTGGAAATGTGAGGCAAACTCGAGCTCATCTACAGCCTGCAACTACTCGCTCTGAATGCAATTGGGCCACACCATGTTCGAGCATTGTCGCCAATCTGACGCAGTATGCGGCCCAGCTTGTGTCAGAGAGTGAAAGTTTCCCCATCGACACTCTTGCCGAGTCCGTATGGTTTCATGCTTCTCCTAGCGGCAGGAAACCCTTGACAAGCAGTTTATGATGCTAATCGGACATCGAAGCAACTTGTGGGCTGTCCCAAAAAGGTATGTCAAATTTTTTTTTTCTCATGATCATACGCTCACAAATACTTCAGGACCATCTCAGGCTATCTGCCATCAAGATCTATGTCACGAAAAACCAAATCAGGCTTGTGGGAGCTCCGCGACGTATCGTCACCCTGTTTGCCGATGGCATCTGTCGTTCGGACGTACCAACTGGAAACTCCCTACGGTCTACTCGCACCATCGTCGTCATAGACTGTCGTCGACTGTGATTGTTGTTTTACTTCGTCAACTTTCTGGTCAGACTCGGGGCTTCTCCAATACCGCTCGCCATCTGCGCGAGATGCAAGAGCTTCTTCTCATCTTCGGGACATATCGTCAACACATCTGTTGCTATCGACTCGGCGCTGCAATCCAGATCTGGCAATCCAAGTCCGCTACTCTAATAGTTTCCTAAAATCGGTCTGCGGGCGCAAATTGGGTACCAAAAGTGGAATCCTGACACGCCACACAGACTGGGACCTGCACCATGTGTCTTCATTGACCGTTGACAGGATGTCTAGTAGGGCTTTCGCAACACAATGCACACAGCAAGTGGCCTACAACCTCGCAGGGCCCGCGAGAAGACTCTCTCTCGAGTGTTTCCTGTGGACAAACAACAAGCCGAGGACAATCACCACTACAGAGCGCCCTCTAGGTATCCTAGAAGCTTCTTTTAAAGACTATGTCTCACACACAGGCATAAGGTAGAAACCTTGGTTGCCCTTTGGTCTGGAGTGACCCCGATTCCTTGCCGCATTCTTATACTCTTCAGTTCCCGGCATCAATTGCAACAATCTTGGAATCAACAGAATCGGCGCTTTGATTCCAGAATTGGGTCGCAAAAGCTACCAACGACTGACGCGTCCCATGGAAAGGCTCCTTAAACGTCTCTGCCGTTTCGATCGCAAGTTCAATGGGGGCAAATCAAATGTGTTCTTGCATGATGAGCATTGTGCTCTGGAGGATGCATGACTTGAAGCCGTCAGTTCTCGTGAGCTCTTGAGTGTTGCATGCCCAGGATTCTGGTAACAAGACCACAGTGGCAGGGTGCGTCCTCTAATGCGCGTATACGTGCTTTGAGATGGATCTTCCCATGCGACATAAGAGGCTCGCAACTTGGCACGAAGCATCAGCACTAGCGACGAAGCAAACGCAAGACAACAGCAAGAAGCACTCAAGCAAGGCTACCCATGATGGTTCTCGAAAGATCGCCGTTGCCAGTGGCGTCTCCGACAGCCCGTGCTTGATCAAAGCTGCTTTCGACGCCAGCCTCCGAAACTGCCACAGAGTTTGCGTCGCCCGAAAAAGCGAGCCGCCTGGTTCCAGTCATGCACCATGGTCGCCAGCAGCCACGAGCTATCTCTCAATCCCAAGAACAAAGTCTATATGACCGTTGCCTGGGCTCGCAGCTTGCGTTACCTGCCTACTGATGGCCCAGATGGTCTCTACTCTTTGGGAAACAAAATTTTTGTCGTCGTCGTCGTCGTCTTTTGTCCACGAATCGTAGCCATCGCATTGTCATGTTCACTGCGCAGCTTCATTTCATCGCAAAGCGAATGTCGCCGCCTCGCCGCCGATCGCCTCGGTTGGCAGCTGTTGGCTCTGCTGTCAAGACCTAAGGTAAGCCTTCCCTCCCGATGACCGAAACTCGCCCATGCTAACGGCTTGCCCTGAAGACAAGTGTCAGTCCTGAACTGTCTTCCATCGCTGAGACCGATGATGCTACTCAGCAACCCGCCTTCAAGTCACCCAGGCCCAACAGTAAAAATGCAGACCAAGAGCGCGACGCGCATAGAGAACCCCAAAGACAGCTCCCGACCTGCGCCATCCCACGAAGAAATGCACCCCAGTTGAACAGGGACACGGAATACTCCGATGCTCGATTCCTGCCGTGCTGCGTCGACACAAATGAGCGACGCAAGGACGAACAAGAATGGCCTGCGCTTTGAGAGTGGCAGGTTTATCTATCAGGTGAGTCCTGACTACAATACTGGTGCTTCAGTTGATCTAATTACCACAGGCTCTCGGGAATAATGCCCTCTTCCTCTTCAGCGACCGTCCAAGCTGAGCAGCCGATGCCTGCCTGTCTGACTAAATCGCCGCCATGCTGATCGATCGATAATCCCACCCACCGCATGCGGTTCATACGTTTTACGGTCGAATCGAATTACATATCACGCACGAGTGGGAGGAAATCGCACTTTGACGGACGCTCTCGATGGACGTGTCGCAGCTATTTCCCTTTGGCCAACCATAGCAGCGTCTGGCGGGAGACATTGTCATGTGTTTCCGATCCCAGAACCGGCACGGCATTGCTGGTATATGTTGAAGATTCTGTCTTCCGGCATAACCAGATGGTCCATTCATGCTCGAATCTGCCTTGTCTCTTTCTGAAGCCGGCAGTCAGCGGCTCAGGAGTCGGCGCACGGGCGCCACGAAGGCGAACGAACACATCTTTCGACAATTGGGTACCGCGCTATGGCTATGGATATTGGACCGTGCGCGCGGAGGTCTGTTCCTCATTCATTCCCGCTTCACCAGCGTCACCAATGGTCTCTACTTGAGGTTTTCTGCGGATTCCATCGGAGGCATGACTGCATCAAGACGTCCAGCCTCGAGGAGCCACGAACAGGTCCCCAGTGCCCAAGTCAGTGCCCCAACTTCCTGGCACTTCGTAGGGCAGACAGAAGATTCATGTGTCGACATCGTCGCCACCCATCTCCGCAACTGGGCAGGAGATCGACTCCGGTGACTCTCTCGAGCAGCTACACTTGTCACTGGTAGGACCCGCGCGTGTCGGCTCGACGAGGTCTTTCCGCTTGATTGGCATAGAGACAACACGTTGTGTCTCAGACGCAGCTCATTCTCGTCTTGGCGCTATGGATCAGAGGCAAAGCCACACGAGTTTGCGCTTTGCCTCAGCTTTTTTCGCTGCGTGAGAGTCTCTTACAGCATCCTGGGAAGACTCGCAAAGTCTTGCCAGCCAACACGCCCCTGCTTGGGTTCTCGGATGACCTCTCCTCCACGATCCCATGTCAACTTTCTAGGTTATCTTCCATTGAGCAGCCATGTTGTTGGACCTCCTGGGTGGCTAGTAGTCGATCGTCCACAGGTCTACAAAACTGAAATGTCTTCTTGGGATCCATCTCCGCAATGGAGTTTTCTACTTGAAGTTGTCTTCAATAGTGGAATTGTCCATCACGTCGACAAAGCAGCGCATATTTACTTCATCGTCACTGCCTACTTCATACGGAATGCTTAGTGCAATCTTCGGCGAGGGGAATTGGCTCTACAGCTGCATCAGTTGTTGATTCTCTTGGAAGGACTCAGGATTCCCGAATCATCCAATTCAACGTCTCTCGTTCCGGGAGATCAGTAATCTCAACGAACCTGCTAGGGACTGCGGAAGCCAGTCTCAGTACATGCCGCAACATCCTCTCATCACGTTTATCGTTCTTCGGACCAATTTTAGGACCAGCATCTTGCGCAAACCCTTTTCAGTCACGTCCACATACATCTACAAGCCACCAACAGGTCAAATGAGTGCCTCCCGTAACATGGAACGTCTTCCACACGATTCCGGGACGATAAGGGGCGGGACTCGGTGGCAGAACTTCCTTTGCCGAAGGACTCTACGCCAACTCGATCAAGCTGTGACGCAGGGTTAGACTGGTTCTGTTGCTGATTCCTTGTCTGGTTCACGCCTCTCCATACTGCTGGTGGCCGAGCGATGGAACCATGAGAGTTGAGACTCTGGGAGTCCAATACACGATGGGCGACGAGACGGATGCGTGGCCCTTTTTGTGGTGCACATTGTTCACGCCATGCGACGAGGCAGTCCTATGCTTTGCCAGCAGAATGGCTTCTCGTACACAACGCAGAGGACAATCCATGTTCATTTGACTCGCTTCCACCAATTTCTGCGGCCTCTGTTGGACCAAATTCCTGGCTCCGTGTCGTCAGTATTGCTGATGAATATCAACAGGAGCCGAAGCCGCGTCAATTCGCAGGCCTACCTATCTCTCGGTTCAACTGCAACAAGAATGTTTGTCCATGTCACTTTCAAGATTCAGCAGACATTGTCGCGAAGCCCAGTATCACATGCCGCTCCATAGTCTTGACCCACGACTGTCAAGGCTCGTGGGTATACTGGAAACCTTTGGTTGAGTTCCGCGCCACTGCCGTCCTCCCTTGCCGTCGTGTTGAGCATTCGCTGGCTGCCTGCGCCTGTACCTTGCCCTGGTATATTAGGTTCCCATTGTCTCTTGGCTTTGGCACAAGATGGTCAGTTGCCGCTGGCTTCGGAAGCCTGCGAGCATGTTATTTCCGACAGCATTATCATTAACATTGGGGTTCCTCGGGCCAAGGCCATCATTTATGTGGCTTTCAACAGCCGCAGCTTTCATCAGGACATCGACGAGCACGATGCTCACCTGGCGCCCACTTAGCGACTCCAGAGAGTCACAGGCCGTCAATTACCATGTTGCAAGTCGGCGTGTTCTCGCGGATTCAAGATATACTTGGGCAGTGTTTGCAACTCGCTTGAGCTTCATGTCTCACTTCCACAGAGCTCGTCTGATATGTCGCCCGTGAGGGTTCTTTCTCTTCCATAATCAACTCAAGCACTAGGGACTTTTTGTCTCCATTCTTGCCGGATTGAAACGATGAGCAGCAGGTCATCCCCCTCTTCCTTATGGCGCAAAAACCTTGGTTGCCTCTCGGAAGCCTCTGTCTTGGACACCGTCTCTCTCATCCACAGCCTTCTTTGTCCTTCGGCTTACTTGATCAGAACGACCCGCGCTTCACAGTTCATACCGATGCAGGAAGCATATGTTCGCCGTCAGCGAGTCATTTCCCAGGGAACAAGAGGACAAAAGGATGACTCGACGACACTAAGCCATCGGCACGTCAACTCACAAGAAGCTGGCTGTGACCTCATCTTTATGCTTCGTGCGCGAACCCTCACCTTCTTCATTCTAGCCAACTTTCCGATACGGCAATCTTGAAGTCGCGTCGTGAGAGTCGCGTCGGCAACGATGATTGCGGTCTTGCTGATGAGGTTTGATTCATCAACAGTCAGTTCAGCACCGCCGACCCCGCCCCTTTCGGATCTATGGGTTTCGCTTGGCTTTGTTGTCCCGTTGACTTTCTCCAATGAGCCGTGCCTCCGGTATATACGAGGTATCGACACCCGTCTCGTAAGATCACTTAAAGCTCCTAGGCTCTCGAGTCTCGCCAAAGCTGAGTGGGGTTCAAACTCGCTACGGTATCTGAAGAAGGAGTGCGACACGTCTCCCGCCCGCATCTTACAGAGGTACACTAGACAAGGTTCAAGTGACGCCCAGAAATCCGCTCGACTTCTGGCACAATACTCTTCCACTCTTCTGGCCCCGGCGACGAGTATTTCGAGCGCTGAAGATTCCAATGCTTTGGAGCCACGACTGAGTCCTTCCCCTGCGACGGTCTTCAAACTACAGATTATCGCTTTGCAGTCGCAGATTTCCTGGTGGAAACTCCTTGGCCACAAAGTCAAGCGGCGTGGGCTTCGAAATAGAAGCTGCGCCTCCGCCGACTGTGGCAACTTCGGCTCGCCGCTAGTTTGCACAGCGTTTCCCTGACGCCACGTCCACATCACGGCAACACAGGGCTGCGCAAGGTGCGTCGAAGAGTCGATCGTATCAGGTCAAAAGCCCTTCGACCAGCTACGAAGAACAATCCAGCGCCGATAACGGAGAGAGATGTCGTCGAAGATCCTACATCCCACTCAGCGCCACTGCATCTACTTGCAGACTCTCGATTCGAATTAGAACTACTTCCCCCCGACAAACGAATCTTCGCACTCGCGGACCTATTGCAGCTTGATGCATCCCGTTCTTTCGAGTCGCAGCGGTCTTTGCGGTATGACGTGGAGGTAGACTTCACCCAGAGTTAACCTAGACACATGGCTCACACATTGATTGCCACGACGCGCAACGCACTTCCTTGTCCAAAAGATCTCACACGCCTGCTATGGACTCTTGCGTATCAGCAACGTCGGAACCGCACCAGTTGGATGGGGTCGGCCATGGGAGCAGAGTCGGTTCGAGTGAGACCTCGCTTTGGTATCGTCGTCTTTTTTGACCAGGTTGCGCGGTCAGGGCCTCGGCGAGTCCATCCTCAGTGTCTTTGCGGACAACTTTGACAAACTAAACATCACGACGCCCACTCTGACCACGCAGCTCTGCAATGGCAAATCGGATCGCAGGCGCATCTTCGGTGTAGCCGTGACAACAGCACCTTTACACCAATTCAGGAGGCTATCAAGTCGTGGGCCAGTGCCACGTGCCTGCCCTTCACCGGATTGCAAGACTATGTTGGGGAAGCAACTATGACCAACCATGCCCTCGACGGTGGCCTGGGCCCTGGCGAACATGACGGTGGCCCGTCCCCTTCCCATCCGTGCTGATACAATTCTTTTCCAGGAGCGTGCAGACTGCCGGTCGGTGCAGGTCCAGTACGGATCACTTGTCTTTTTGTTTCGAAACGCTGTAATGGAATCAGCTGGCTGGGTCGTCTTGCTCGTAACGGAGTCTCTCTTAGAGCATGCTCGATTGGTGTGGGCCCATGGCGCGTACCCAGCATTAGTGAAACGCCCAACATGCTACCATGACTCGTACCTACACGACGGAAACTACACGCTGCTCTGCCAGTGAGGAAGCGTCCCGAGAGAGGACCAATATCCTTCACACCGTCCCTGGGGCAAGTCCTGGCAGTTCCTGCATTGCAGTCTCTTGACGCGTGCACACCGGTTCGCCATCTCCCTCACGTAGGCGAGTCTGCAGGACCACGGGATCTTAGAGTACTCATGTTTGATTAGTACGCATTTCACAACGCTCGATGCGATTAGACCAGCTCTCCACGTCCAGCGTGAGAGTCTCTGACGCGCTCTAGAATGTCCTGTAGTAGCCGTCTGCCCGAGCAAAGATTGCTTCTAGCTCCCCAACTTCGCTTGAAAACTCTTGCCTGCCCATGGTCATCTTCATCTTCCTCAGCTGTTTTCCGCGTCTACCCTCCCCCACCCGTACCCGTTTGTTTGGAACGACTGGCGCCAGTGGTTGGCGTTGCAGATCGAGCATCTCAGCTCGTTCAAAGTCGATCATCATAACACCCGTTTCCCGGTTGAACAGCATGTTCGCATCCCGCACGTCTTTGTGGCGAACGCGATACCGATGGATAGCTCGCAGTGACTGCATGGCCATTTGATGTAGCTTGGCCCTTGGGAAGCCCGCCGCCTCTGCTTCCGAGATGCTGCATCCTGCCCATGATAGGAATGTTAGGTATACCACGTACACTCGGTGATCGTAGTAATAAATTTTCCGCATCTGGCGAAGGTCAACGACGCCTAGAAACACGGGCACGTTCCTGCCTTGCGCTGGTAAGAGACGTTTATACACGTCCGCCTCATGCTCGAGGTCCGGTATGAAGGCTCGCACCGTGCCTTTACTGACGAAAGTGTACCCGTATGCAAGCAAAGTCACCCTGAAAAGGACCCCACGTGCGCCACCATGCCCAAGCGGCGTGATGCCGTCGTCAAGTGACTGTTCGAGCTGTCGATGAAGCAAACTGAGCCATTGCGCATGATCCACAGGATGGTGATCGCCATTCCTTCGATGAAGATCCACATTCGGGCACGTAGGGTCCAGCTTTTGCCCCTTGACCAGGCCAAGCAGGCAGGCTTGGGTGCAGTAAGGACCGTCTCGCAGAGAGATTGCATCTGTCTTTTCCTCGGTCCCAGCTTCAACATCATCCGCCCCTTTGCCTCCCCTTTGGCTTCCGCCTCCGCGTGAGCGTCGCGCGAGAATCCGCTGACTCCTTCGGGCTCCGGCATCCCCGACACTTGGCGTCGGTGTTTCCGGTGGCTTGGAAGACGATTCATCATCGTCTGAAGACTCTGGAGGATGGTTGACCTTGGACGGGCGGTCACCACACTGGTCTTGAGGGAAGATGCGGCGCCTTAGGCGTTGGAAGATGGGTGACCGGTCGACGTCTTGATACGTTGTAGGTTCAGGAATAAACGAGGCGTCCGATGCCGCAGTTCGTTCACTGTCGGGTATGGAGCGTACCGTTGTTTCAAAGTCTTCCGCCCACGTATGCAGAGTCTGCGTTGCCCTCTGTCGTTCCTCTTGGCCATGCACCGTCCGCGTTACAAGGGCCAAGAGGGTGAACGCCAAGTATTGACCCACAGACGAGCAGAGATGCAACTGGTCTGGGCGCGCCGCCGCTTCCGGGCCAGGCTCAGCTAAGTGGTAGTAGAGCGTGCCCGGGTCATCCCAATCGATTGTAAGAAACACAATCGTCTCGCCCGTGGTCAGGAGGCTGTACTCGAGCCCGCCTTCGATCATGTAGTGATACGTTTGTGTGATGGCAGACGCTGTCAATCTTTCTGCAAAGTATTGAAATCGAGCGGCTGCATCGACCGAGGTTGGGATTGTCCTCCTGTTGACAACCTCCTTGTAGATATCCATTGGACGGAGACCAAGACGAAGATGAGGAGCCGTCAACTTGTGAGGCGGCTTGTACTCGGAGATGTAGAGCATGGTGCGCTCTGATGAATCTGTACTGTCGGATCGGTAGATGCAGATTTGATCGGCGCGTAGCTGGTGGGGGTCTTGTCGCTGGTTGGGGGTTTTGGGCGGTGTCGATGGTGTTTCTCGATCGGCTACTTCCTCGGCCACGTCACTGATCGCATGAGGATGGTTTTCAAAGACGATTCCATGGTTCATGTCGAAGGCGTTGGATGTCTCGGGGTTATTTTTCAGCTTCTCGATAATGTTCCGGACCGGATCTTCCACGCTGTTATGGAGGAAATATTCCAGTGTCTTCTCATCGGCAATCTTTCGGCTCGATATCCGTTCTCCCATCCCTTCTAGGAAGCTCTTGTTCTCGAAGACTCGTGTTTCGATCGGGAAGGTCGCGTTGAGGGTACCAAGGACGGTCCTTTGTTTTTCGAGGAAATCGGACCATGGTTGGAGTTTGCTAGGGCACCACTTGTCCCGAGGATTGGTTATAGGGCCCTTGGAAGTGAACTTTGAATCCGTTTCGACAGACAATCGAGAGAACACAGATGTATGGCAAGCGGCAATGTACTCGTCAAGGGTAGTCGGTTGTGTCTGCCGCTCGGATTGTTCGGCTCGTTGCTGTTCCTTCTCGGCTCGTTCTCGTTCCACCTCCCTTCCTCGCTCCGCTTCCTCGGCTCGCTGGCGTTCATGCTCGGCTCGCTGGCGTTCTTGCTCGACGCGTCGCTCCGCCTCTCGCAAACGTCGTTCAAGGTCTGCCACCGTGCTTCCTTCCATCATCGACGTCGTAGTTGAGAAGCGTCGTGTATATGTCTGGTAGGTCTTGCCAGAGGAACAAGGCGGATGAATAGCATTGTGGATGGATGGCAGTCAGACCGTTGTGGTCATTTTAGGTGTTGTCATTGTTTGCCTCCTGTCTGGCCACTGCCGTTGCTGCGGGAACAATTGGGTCGAGATAGCGGACCCAATTGGCGGGGACCGTTTCCCCTCCAAACACGTGATCCGTCGCGCGATTCGTTTGTTTACCCTTTTCCCTTGCTAGCTGGCTCTCACACATCAAACAGCAAGCGATTGATATTATTTTATAGCGCTCGCTCGACAACACGCTTGACCAATTTCGACATGATTCCGCCATGTCGCAGCGTCCAATCATCTGGAGCACGAAGACGTCGCCACTCTTCTGTCGGCTTTAGTTGCGTCTCCAGCCGCGTACAGCGAGACCAGCGCCTTCGGTGCACCACACAAGCTCCCACAGGGCAACATTCAGGCGATGCCATCAGAAGGGTTTCCGATAGCTTTGACGGATGAGAACCCAAGGATCATCACTCTTGCCCTTGCCACGTCCACTGATTAGCCGTCTTGTCCCAGCACCTGTAGAGTTGCGCCGCTTCGTCCCAGTCCATTCACTTGCTGAAGACGACGGGCCCTGAGTTGGGGATGAATTATCTTGGACCTGGCCCTGGATGAGACCGTGACCCTGCAAGGCCGGAATGGCACACTACTTGCACTTCCAGAGAGGTTGGCGCTCGTCCTCAGGTTCGTAAAAAATGTATTCGTGGTCCCTGATCTTCTCCTTGAAAGGCTCGACTCGACCATGCTTCTTGGGAACAGCTATTTCCAGCTCTCCCATTCTCCTCCTCGTCAACTTTGTACACTCTTCTTTGCCAGCCACTACTATGCCCCTACCAACACCTGTTCAGCTTCATTACTTCCACGATGCATCAAAGTCCGAGCTGTCTCCTCGAACAAGTGCCTAGGGAGACGGCGGCGGTGTGTGTCTCAATAGGGGCATTTACGTTGTCAAGTTCGGTGCCAACGTTGCCGAAGATGAGGGAAACGCTCTTCTCTTCGTCGATTATGGAGCATATTCAGGGCGTCGAATTGGAGTCGCTCTGCAACCCCTCTCGGCGGAAGCCAAGTCGTTGATTGCCATACAATTGCGGCCCAAGTTCACGCAAATGCGTTTGTCCAGCCCGCCTCACAACTTCATTGGCGGGCCTAATGCCAGTATCAGCGGTCTGGCGCCACTTTCCCTCGTATCGCGGGACAATTGGAAGCAGACCGGGCAGCGCGAATGCGTATCCAGCTTCTTTTCCGACACCTCGCTGCTGCGTTGAGGGATCACGGTGTACACTTTATACATGGAGACGTACACATGCGAAACATCCTGTCGGAAAAAGTACCTGCAGAACCTGCGAAGGCTGACCAGCGAATCTTTTTCGAGAGATACCGCAATGACAGGATCTCCAGCGAGACAATTGCGGAATTGCCCGCCCTTTCCCCTGAAGCGAATTCACATGGACTGCGAGCAACGCCACTTGAGTATTGGGGAGACATGTCACATGGACGAGACCAAAACAGAAGCTCTTGTCGAGAGTTTGGATCGCGGCGCCCTGGAAGGCGAGGAATTGTCCTCAAACTGGAGAGCTCCGCGCCATTCCGAGACAGACAGTCACTCGAGCTCTTCTGACATCTGGACAAGTCTGGCAAGCCTCACAAAGCTTGATCGGGGCTCTGAGCCACACATTAGGCTTTGAGAAGAACACTTGCAGGGATTTAACACTCATAATCGAATTCTTGAACGTTGCCCCTCTTGCGATAAGTCACTATCGTCAGAACCAACAGCTTTGACTTGGCGCACAGTCACCGAGCTGCTGGTACACGTGTCGACATAAGGGAGACCGTGACTATAGCTTGACTTTGAATGTGTACGACGGTTGGCTGAGTGTCAACGCTCACTATGAACTAGACCTATCAAAGAGATGGACCGCTAGGTCTGGGCAGCCTGCAAGATCATCTTGATGAGGTCCAAGTCCTCCCGGGCATCCGCAGCCGACGTCTTGGGAGCGGTCTTGTTCGTCGCACAGCGATGGAACTCCAAAAACTCGAGCGTAAAGGGATCCTCGTAGGTCTTCCTGACGATACGCTCCTGGTATCCTTCCCCCCCGGCACTGTCAATCTTCTCCCTGATGGTCATGGTGACGGGGAGACCCTTCACGTAGGGGGTGTCGTAGTCGACGCGCACAATCTTTTCCCGGGAGTAGACCTCAATGTGCGCGTCAAAGCGAGGTACGTCGATGATGCCCGACTCGTAGGACACGGGGAAGCCCTCGTACTGGAACAGCACGTTCCAGATGGGCAGTCCGAGGGAGGCGCCTACGACGCGCGAGGGCATGCCCACCATCTCCCGCATGGCGGAGAAGTCGTGGACACCGAGTCTACAAGATAGGTTGCCAGGTCAGTGGCTCGCATTGCTTGGGGTGTTGGGGAGGGATGAGCTGACGTACCCAGTGAAGAGCCTGAACATAGTCATGGTCTCTGGTGTTGCCTCGACACCGTACTCGTCAACGAGAGCTCTCTTGACCATTTCCTCCTCCACCGCCCGCATCTCTGCACCAGCCTCCGCAGGATAGTCCTTGAACCTCTTGGGGTACGTGCCAGATTGGCCGACAAAGGAGCTGTTTTGCCCAATAATGTCTTTCTTCGGTCAGCACCTTGCGTGAATCATAGTTATAAGATGGCAACTGTACCCCTGACTCGTATGTACTCAATCTTGTCCATGGTGCCGATTTCCTTCAGGGCATCCGTGAACGCCTCGGCATATCGCCTCTGGTATCCCACAAAAACCCTGGCCTCCGAGTTCTTCTCTGCGGCAATGATGGCGTCGAGATCCCGGTAGTTCATGGCAAGCGGCTTCTCGACGAGCACGTACTTGTTGCACTGCAGTGCTAGGATAGCCTGGGCCGGGTGGAAGGCATTGACGTTGCAGACCACCACGACATCGGTATCAGGGGACCTGATCAGCTCGTCTGGGTCCGAAGTTGTCTTGGGGGTGGCTCCGGCGACCCTCTTGCTACAGTGCTCAAGAGCCTGCTGCGAGACATCGCAGATGTACGTGATCTGGAAGTAGCTCGACAGGTTGTTCAGGAGCAGAATATGAGAGACCTAGAGATTGTCAACGAACGTGCGCTAAACTACAGGACATACAGAGAGAGATTACGCACCTGAGCAACCTCTCCCAAGCCGATGATCCCGACTTTGAGTATCTTTCCCGAGTTGGTAGCAGGTGGTTCGGCCATCTTGGGGAGTTGGTGTATAGTTTTGAGACAGATTTTGGGTGGCAAGCTATCCGTTCAAGCTGGGCATCTGTTTGACTCTATCCTCGCGGGTCCATACTGGAGACGCGCTCCGACTCCGCAATCTCCAACGGAATATAAATGATATGTCGGTCTGGCCTCGAGAAGGGTCCGCCTCTCCCTACAGCAGTCTAGAACCTCGCACTCGACCCCTCAGAATCACGTCCTTGAAATGTGATGACGCGAACCCTAGACAATCCGGATAATATCGAAACTTAAGCCTGGGGTACTGGCGTGGTAAGCGCGCGGTATTGTCGGTCCGCGCGATGCCTCCCTGGGTACCTCGTAACATGTCGCCCTTCCAGGGGTTGCCAAGAGCAGGATCAAATCCTCTGACATGCAGGTCGAGCACGCCTCCACAATCGGCTAAAACAACATGATTGGTCCGGGGTATCGGTCTAGGCTAAAACGTGCGAGACCCTGGACTTTTGCGCGCGCGTCTGGGGGTCTGGTGCAGCACCGCCCCCGGATTTCGATGAGTCGAATCCTGCTGGCCTCGACTCTGACCGACAAATAGAGGAGAAGGGGTATCTTTTCTTTGCTTCGGCGACTTGCTCAATCCTCCTGGGACCGAGATGAAGGCGGCCCGTCGTCTTCAGATGCCGCGACGCAGCACTCGGGAGGCGGAGAGAGTGTCGGCCCCCAAGACTGACTGGGGCCACTTCAGCCGGCTTACACCGTGAGAGGTAGTTGCAAAACCCCAAGATATGCCTGTCAATGACTTCCCTCTGATTGAAGGTCGCTCTTATCCAACAAATCGCATCAGTACTCAACGTACTACTCCTCGAAATGGCTGACAGTAATGCCACGAAGACGCCATGGCGCATCTATCTGTATGGTGCCGGCTCCATCGCGTGGCGACACGGCGTGGCGGCGCAGAGCCTAGGAGAGGACGTCGAGATCTTTGCTGCCGACCCTTCGCAGGATGCCCGCGAGTCACTGCTCTCCAAGGTCCCCAAGGCTACTGTCTACCAAGATGCCCAAGACATGCTCGCCAGCTCCCCAGGTCGGGCGCGCGACATTGTCGTCGTAGCCGTGCCCCCCTTCCTGCACCACGCGGCGACACTGCGCGCCTTTGCCTCCGGACGCCACGTCCTCTGCGAGAAGCCCCTCGCCACGTCCGAGACGGAGATGGCCGAGATGCTGGCCGCCAGTGACGCCGCCGGCCGCATCCTGTCCGAGTGCAGCTTCCGCTACCTCGGCAACGGGGCTCTGGAGCGTGCCCGCCAGCTCATCGAGACGGGCGGCGTCGGCTCCGTCTATCATACGCGCTTCGTCAACCGCCAGCCGCGTTCGCGTGCCGGCATCGAGTACCAGCCCACGAGCCGCTGGTTCCTCCAGCGGGACAAGTCAGGCGGTGGCACCATCTTTGACTGGGGCGTCTACGACATGACCATGTTCTTCGACGTTGTCCGCCCCGTGGCTGCCACGGTCAACTATGCCTGGTTGGCGACGCCCAAGACAGACATCGACCCGACTGACCCCCCCATCTCCGTCGAGACGCACGCCGGGGCGTCGCTGACCCTCACGCTGGACAGCGGCGCCGTCGTCCCGTTCCACTGGGAGCGCGCGAGTGGCTTCCATGGCGCGCCCCAGGTTGCCATCAATGTCGACGGCACGGCCGGCGGCCTGACGTGGGAATGGGTCCCGACGTTCGACTACAAGGCGGAGGTGGATGCCGCGCAGGAAGGCTTCAGGCTGACGCACTACACTGACAAGAACGGCGAGGTGGACGCGGAGGAGCAAATGTTTCCTGGGTTCGGGTGGGAGGACGCCAATCAGCGCCCCTTGCTCGCCTTTGTTGAGCTGATTGAGGGGCGTGAGAGCTTGGCCTTGTCCCGGAGCAGGATGGAGTTCAACTTTGGGGTGGTGCTGGCTATTTACAAGTCGGCTTCAGAGGGGAAGCCCATTCATGTCCAGCTCAAGTAAGGAAAGGCGGGAAATGGGCAGATAATTGTGTACATGTAGGGTAGGTAGTATGTGTTGTGTCACGTGTGTCACGCAGGCGTACCTTGCTTGTCAGGCTGCACTTTCACATTCGGCTTACCCTGTTCTTCCTCCTTACTTAGCATCAGTATCATCTTCAGATAGTGAATGTTCATTCTCGCTCTTCTGATCTGTTATTCATTATCGTAGTACGAAGTCTCTTTCAATGACACGCTCACGAAGCTTTCCATCGACACGAGAAATGATCTTCAGTGGCCTATTGACAAGGATTCCAGCAGATAATGGACCAAAATGCTTGTCGCACAGTAGGTGCTCATGTCCAAATACAACGCTCACTAATCATTTGTACGTGTATCCAAAGTACCCTGAACTTCGAATCTGTCCCTACAAGTCTTGCATCATGTCCCGTGGGAGCTGATACTTCTCGCGTCTACAGCCTCTCGGCAGACGTCTCGGGCTCCGACTTGCCGTTGCCAGCGGGAACAACCGGCGTCGCAGTCTCTCCCCCGTCGACCTTGGCCTTGGAGGTACGGAAGCGGAAGCCCGTCTCGTTCCACCGCTTCCCGAAGCCGTATCCTGGATGCCAGATGGTCAAGCACAGCGAGGCGAGGATGACCATGACGCCGTCGAGGATCATGAACTCGACCTCGTTGTTGGCCAGATCGCCTGCGAACCCCTCGCTCAGCTCGACCGACCGAAAGAGCGTTCGCACAAACAGGAACGCGGTTGCGCCTAGGACAGCTGGCGTCCGTCAGTTTTACCCGAGATCACGCCTGCTACTGTATGGGTGCTGGTACACGTACCGAGGAGGAAGAATTTGAAGCGCTTGCTGTTGACGAGGTCTGTGAACTCGGGGTTGGCCATGCTGGGGTTCTTCCTGACGCGCCAGAAGAATTCGAGACTGCAGGCAGAGAAGGCAAACAGGCAGGCGACCTGGATCGAGAGACCGGCGACGAGGATGTTGGTGCCGACGTCAATCTAGTTGGTGCGCGTGTCAGCAAAATGTCCTCCACAAGAACAAGAAAAGGAGTCTCACCATGTGTGGGTTCGTGAGGGGCGTAGAGGCAGCGATGCCACCACCGACGGCCTGGACGACGAGACTGACAATGTCGCAGCCGACGAAAAAGGTCGTGTACGTGCGAGGCTTGATGCGGCTGATACTCTCCCCGTGGGCCACGACAATGTGCCCGAGGGTCAGGTAGATGGCGGCGGCGATGAAGACGGGCCCGATGGTCAGCGTGATGAGGTACCACAAAAAGTAGTCCCTGTTGAAGGGGTTCCCGTTCATGAGCACGCGCGAGATGTAGCCGACCGTCTCCGTCGTCAGGCCCAGGCACATAGCAATCATGAAGCCCCGCGTCTTGTGCCGAAAGCCCAGGTACAGCTGCGCGAGGGCCAGCACGGCCATGACAGCCAGGAAGAGGGCATTGCCTGCCACGCTGGGCCGGTAGCGGATATAGCCCCAGTCCTCAACGGAGCAGGTGTCCAGGGTGCAGACAAAGCCTTCAATGTAGCCGTCTGGAGCCGACATGGTGCCGCCGAGTCTGTTTGAGATGCGGGAGAAGAGGTTGAGTGGCGGGGAGGAAGTGGAAACTGGGCGACAGTTAGAGACGAGGGACCTCTTGGTTGACTATTATATTCAAAGCCATCAACAAGGCTGAAGGTCGAAAACACCAGAGAGGAGGAAGAATGAATGATGCCGATGTGTTGGTAAATTGGGGGACAGTTGTTGTTGGTTCCTCTGCTCATTTGCGATTTACGCTGTTGGTCGCCGGATTGATTGATTGCTTTGTTGAGTGCCTTGACTGGCCACTCGGTTCTCGCAAGACGGCTGAAGCGCCCTTCAATCCGGCTGAGCATTCCTTGGATCCGGCCGCCGTTCTAACCGAGAGTGTGCTAGAATTTATATTAACATGCATACGGTACAGCCCCTGACTTTGTGTTGGGGGGGAGACTTACCCCTAGTCTCGTAGCTCCTTAGCAAATTAGTGAATCTAAACGTCGTTGAATTGTTACCACGGTACGATAAAGTATCCCACTGTTTGGACAAACTTACAGGGGTTGTGCTGTACCATATATGCACGCCGGTCGGGACCGTACCAGGGTCCAGGGTAAGCCGGGACTTTATGCTGGGGGAGGGAGGGGGCGCCACTCGCCCTGCATATGAATCGAGCGGACACTTTAGCCGCCATTGTTCCCACGGGGAATCTTGATTCACTTGATCTGTCCCCCACCGTCCCACTTCGCCCAGGAATTATTTCGGGGCGGCTACCCGACCCTATGTGCGTTGCGCATGGCCCGTGATGGGCTACGACCATGGCCCACGACACTCACGTGTTGATGGGGTATCGTGCCCCCCTCATTCTCCATATTTCTCCTTTGGCAGCCAGCAAGGACCGTAGCAAGGGTCCGGACTGCAGGCTGGACTGACGGATCCTTCGCCCGTGGTCCGATGGCCTCTATACGCCCTTGTCACGGCCACTACAGGATCTCACGACATCCGAGTCCCTGGCTTCACTGTCCTCGAGACGCCTTCTGCCCTACAGGCCACATTAGTGTGAAGAAAGTGCCTGGTCCCCACAGCCACGTTATGTGGCAGCGGGAGGGGCAAAATGGCGGTATCGCCGCCCGTGTCCCGCCGCTCCCAGCGCCTCCGACTGTTTGAGGCCAAGCCAAGCTGCCAAAGATATGCCTCGACGATGACAGGCAGGATAAGCTTCGCGAGATGGGACCAACCCTAGGCTCGCTTCACGCTGACGCGCGCTTAGCATATGCCTGCTAGGCTATCGGTGGTTCTGCGTGAGTACGGCGTGGATCCTACATGTAAGCAGTGTTCAGGATTGCTCGGTCTGGGGACCGGACGCAGTGTTATCAGGGAGCTTGCAATTTCTGTTAAATAGCAGTTTTCCCAGGTCCCATGGCTGTCTTTGTCTGTTGAATTCTGTGTCACTATTTCCCCCAAAGACCCATCTTTGGCCTGCCAACCATGGCCGAATCAAGCCCCAGTCCCATTGCCATCATTGGCATGGCATGTCGTCTGCCCGGCGGCTCAGACAGCCCAGACAAGCTCTGGGACATGCTCTCGGAAGGACGCAGCGGCTGGCGCGAGATCCCCGAGGACCGGTGGAACAAGGACTCGTTCTACCACCCTGACCCCGAGGCAAAGGAGGCCGTCAACTTCAAGGGCCTCTACTTCCTGAACCAAGACATCACGGCCTTTGATGCCCGCTTCTTCAACATTCACCCCCACGAGGCCCACTGTCTTGATCCTCAACAGCGTATCCTTATGGAGACGACATATGAGGCGCTCGAGAATGCAGGGCAGACACTGGCAGCGATCAAGGGCTCCGACACTTCTGTCCACGTCGGAGCCTATGCCACCGAGTAAGTGCTTTCCTGGTCATCAACACACTCTCACAATTGGGAGAGCAGAAGTAGCTACGTATAGGATATACTGACATGAGCCTGCCCACAGCTTTGAGCGCATGGGCTACAAAGACACAGCAAGGACGCCCAAAGCCCACATGATCGGCACCGGAATTGCCATCCTATCGAATAGGATATCATATGTCTTTGACCTCAAGGGCCCATCCAGCACAGTGGACACGGGATGTTCAGGCAGCATGGTGGCTCTGCATCAAGCTTGTCACGGGCTGCGGGCAAAGGAGTCCAAGATGGCCATCGTGGCTGGTACCCAGCTGGTCCTCACGCCGGATCAGATCATTCCCATGAGTAGCGTCGGGTAAGCATCGTCTATACTTGACGGTTTACGGAGTGTAATGTGCTGATTCGATCATTCCAGAATGTCCAATCCCGATGGCAAGTGCTACGTCTTTGACAGCCGTGGCGCTGGATATGCCAGGGGCGAAGGCGTCGTCAGTTTCATCCTAAAGCGTCTTGACGACGCCGTCGCGGATGGCGACAAGGTGCACGCCATCATCAGGAACTCGGGCCTCAACCAGGATGGCAAAACCGTCGGGCTCACACTCCCGAACCCGGTCTCCCAGGCGAACCTCATGCGCCTCGTATACAAGAATGCCGGTCTCGATCCGGCCGATACTGCCTACGTCGAGGCACACGGGACAGGAACCCAAGCCGGTACGTAAAGTCCAGTCCTTGGTCTCTCCCTGATTTGATGGCAAGACACTAAGAGAGTGGCAGGCGACAATGCAGAGATATCGTCTATTGCGGAGGTATTCTGCCCCAACGGTGAGCGGGAGGGAGGCCTCTATGTCGGCTCCATCAAGTCAAACATTGGGCATCTAGAAGCTTCAAGTGGTGTTGCAGGACTGCTCAAGGCAATCCTCATCTTGAAACACGGCGCGATCCCACCCAACATTGACTTTGTGGAGCCCAAGCCCACGCTTCTTCTCGAGGAGCGAAAGATCAAGGTATGGGGTCTTTCATCAACACATTGTCATCGTCGCTAACAGCCTCGAAGATCGCAAAGGAAGTGGTGCCGCTGCCATCAGCAACTGGTCCGCGGCGCGTGTCTGTCAACTCCTTTGGCTACGGCGGAACGAACGCACACATCATCTTGGAGGCCCCATCCTCCTGTGAACAGTTCAAGCACGGTGCCGTCTCGGTCCATCAGAATGGGGTCAATGGCCATGCGAACGGCGTCAATGGTACCAATGGACATCATGAGTTGCATGACACCGGTGCCAACGGCTTCAGCGGTACAGACGGTATCAACGGCGATAGTGGCATAACTGGTACTCACGATACCGAGGATCCTGTTGTGTCCAATGGCGCTGTAAGTGTCAACAATGACACTACCGAAACGCAGCTCTTCGTCTTGTCAGCCCGATCCGAGGCCTCCTTGCAAACCATGGTGTCAAATCTGCAAAAATGGGCCTCGACGCATCACGATGCCTCCTACTTCCCCGATCTGGCCTATACGCTCTCTACACGCCGATCGGAGCTGCCGTTACGCTCCAGCTTTGCAGCGGCCAGTCACGACGAGCTCATCACCCTGCTCGGCCAGAAGCCCCGTGTCACCAAGACTCTCAACAGCTTCCGCTCCGTCTTCCTCTTCACCGGGCAGGGAGCGCAGTGGCACGCCATGGGCAGCGAGCTCACGCTGCACCAGCCAGTCTTTAGACAGTCCATGCTGAAGTCCGAAGCCGTCTTACAGAGGCTCGGGGCAGAGTGGAACCTCGTTGAAGAGCTCTCCAGGGATGGGGAGACGTCGCGCGTTGGGCAGGCTGAGATCTCGCAGCCGTCTACCACGGCCATCCAGATTGCCCTGGTCGATCTTCTCAAGACCTTCAACGTCCTTCCCAACTTTGTCGTCGGGCACAGCAGTGGCGAGATAGCCGCGGCCTATGCCGCGGAGGCCCTGGATCACGAGTCCGCGCTCGAGATATCGTTCCGTCGCGGGTTCATGTCTCAGGCATACTCGCGAGCCAACTCGAGCAAAGGCGCCATGATGGCGGTCGGCTTGGGCGACGAAGACGCCCAGAGGTACATCAGCCAGACTCGAAAGGGCCTGGTCTGCGTTGCCTGTGTCAACTCTCCGGTCAGCACAACCATATCGGGAGATGAGGCTGCCATCGACGAGCTGAAGCAGATCCTGGACGAAGAATCCATCTTCAACCGCAAGCTTAAGGTCGACACAGCATATCACTCCCACCACATGAAGAAGGTCGCAGGCGAGTACCTAGAGTCCATCGCGCACATCAAGGCTCGCACCCCCAACCCGGCCATCAAGTTCTACTCCTCCGTGACCGTGGCGCATAAGACGGAAGCGTTCGACGCCCAGTACTGGGTTGACAACTTGGTTTCGCCTGTACGCTTCGGTAACGCCCTGGAACTGCTCTGCCGTGAACAGCTCGCAGGCGTCGAGACATCGGCTCTCACGATGTTCACCGAGATTGGTCCACATGGCGCGCTGGCCGGCCCCGTGAGACAAACCATCAAGAGCCTGGATCTTTCTGGATTCAAATCCAACTACGTGTCCACTCTGGCACGTGGTCGCGATGCCATGTCCAGCGTTCTGGAAGCGACAGGCAAGCTCTGGGAGTTTGGATACCCAGTGTCCTTGCAAGCCACGCTGAGGGGACAGGACGAAAAGAAGCCTTTTGCTCTGGTGGATGACCTGGCCCCCTACCCCTGGGACCATTCCACGACCTATCTCTACGAATCGAACCTCAGCAAGCAGCATCGCTTCCGCGCGCATCCACCGCACGATCTACTCGGACTGAGAGTGCCGGGAACCACGAGCCAGGAGCCTACGTGGCGTAACTTTCTCGGCGTCGACAGCCTCCCGTGGCTGAGGGACCATGTCGTCGACGGCTTCGCCATTTACCCAGCGACGGCTTACCTGTGCATGGCCATAGAGGCGGCGCGTCAGATCAGTGTCGACCGAAAGATCCAGGGCGTCATCTCCCAAGTGCATCTAAGGAATCTGACCTTCTCCAAATCCATCATGATCCCGGAGCGTCGCACAGATGGTCTCACTTCGGATGTCGAGGCCCTGCTTACCCTACGACCAGCCAAGGGCTCGACTGACCGCACTTGGGAGACATTCCGCATCATGGCCCTGTCACCCGAGGACGTCTGGCACGAACACTGCTCCGGACAAGTCATGCTCGAGTGGGCTTCCAAGGAGGACGAGGTGGAAGGCCTCCGTGAAGAGGACATGGCGGTCTCTAGCCGCCTCCAGCAATTGCAGGACATTATCGATGGCTGTGACACCAGCTACAGCGGCGAGGCCCTGTACAGGAACTTCTCCGAGAACGGGAACGTGTACGGTCCCACGTTTGCCTGCATCGAGTCGGCTCAGATCGGCCCTGACGGAGCCGTGGCCGACATCACCGTTCCCGACGTGGTGAGCATGATGCCGCGGAAGCACCAGCAGCCGCACGTCATCCACCCGGCCCCCTTTGATGCCGTCTTCCAGTTGGCCATCCCCCTGTATAGGCGGAAGATTGGCAATGGTTCAGTCATGCCTACCAGCATCGACGAGATTGTCATCAGCTGCAACATCAGCAGCACCCCTGGGACCGAGTGGACTGCGTCTACTACTGTCAAGGAGACGGGCTTCCGGTTTGCTCGGGTTGAGACAATGGTGTTTGAGAAGTCTGCCCAAGGTGTCCCTCTGGCGCCTGTCATGATGCTTCGTGGAGCCAATCTTCGCGGCATTGGCGAGGCACCTGTTGACGAGAGCGCGCTTCCCTTCAACCGCAAGATGAGCTACGCCCTCGAGTGGAAGCCCGACGTAGATCTTGCTCTCAAGAACCAAGAGTCCCCCCTAGCCAGTTATCTTGAGCTCCTGGCCTTCAAGCAGCCGCGCATGAAGATTCTCGAAGTGGGAGCCGGCACTGGGGAGGCAGTGGCACTTCCTTTCTTGACGACTATCGACCGCCCAGAGGGCTTGCTGCTCGACCGGTACTGCCTTACAGACAAACAGAGCGATATCGTGGAACAAGGCAAGACAGTCTTCCAACGATGGGCGGACCGGATCGAGGTCAAGACTCTTGATATTTCTAAAGACCCTTTCCAACAAGGCTTCCAAGAGGGCTTTTACGACCTCATCATTGCTGCTGATGGGTTCCGCGGCACAAGCTCCTTCGATGTGTGCCTGGCCAACTCAAGGAAACTCCTGAAACTCAACGGCCGGCTTGTCCTCGGCGACCTGGCAGTCGAAGATGGGCAAGCAAGCGACTTGCACACAAGCATGCAAGGGCTGGGCTTCCAGGTGACATCTACTGATCAGCACGCCTCAGGATCCGTATCCCGCATCCTCGTTGCCACCGCTGTTGACCTTCAGACAACAAGAAGCGACAATTTTGCACCTGTTTGCGTCATAAACCAGTCCCCGTCCGATGCAGAGTTTTCGTCCCTCGCGGAATCTTTGAAGACGCAGATGACCAGCCGAGGGTTCCCCTGTTCGTTGGACAGCTGGTCCTCTGAGCCGGTAGATGCTGAATCCATCTACATTGTCATTGACAACGTGGCCGACCCCATCCTTGCCTCGCCCACCCCCGAAAGATTCACACAGATCGTTTCTCTTGTCACCAAGGCCAAGAGCATCTTGTGGCTGAGCTGCCATGGAACAGGCGCTGATGCCAACGACCCATCCAAGGGTATGATCAGTGGCCTCGCCCGCGTTGTGCGTCGTGAGAACGCAGGCATGCGTCTTGTTACCGTCAACGTTGCGCAGGACAATGCCATGTCGAGCCCCGATACCCTCGTCTCCCGGCTCTGGGATATCTTTTCCAGGTCTTTCGCCACCCCTGTCAGCGTGGAACTGTCCAAGGAGGATGAGTACACTCTGAGCGAGGGCCAGGTTCTCATCCCTCGCGTGCACGCTGATGCCAAGTTCGACGACTGGGTGAAGAAGGCCATCTATGCCCAGGGCATGGAGGTCGGACCATTCCAGCAAGTCGATCGACCCCTCAGACTAGAAGTCGAGACGCCGGGCCTCCTGAGCAGTCTTCGTTTCGTGGACGATATCATCCCCTCCAAGCTCCTGGGGCCGTTTGAGCTGGAGCTCGAGGCTAGAGCCTACGGCGTCAACTTCAAAGACGTCTTCATCGCCATGGGCCAGATGATACCCGGCGTCACCATGGCCGGCGAGTGCTCGGGCGTTGTCCGCAAGGTGGGCTCCGGCATCACCGACAAGTTCAGCGCGGGAGATCGAGTGTGTGGTATCTTTGCCGAGCCCTTCTCGAGCCACCCTCGCATCAATGGCAATTTTAGCTGCCGCCTCCCCGAGACCATGTCATTTTCTGTTGGCGCTTCCGTCCCTGTCATCTTCTGCACGGCCTACCACTGCATCGTCGAAGTCGCTCGTCTCCAGCCCGGCCAGACGATCCTGATCCATGCCGCGTCCGGTGGTGTTGGTCAGGCAGCCATCCAGCTTGCCCAGAACATTGGTGCCGAGATCTTCTGCACCGTCGGCAGCAGTGCGAAGCGTCAGCTGCTCATTGACACCTTCAACATCCCACCGAGCCACATCTTCTCCTCCAGGCTTCGCACCTTTAAGCAGGGCATCCTGCGCCTGACAAAGAACGAGGGTGTCGACTGCGTCCTCAACTCCTTGTCTGGCGAGTCCCTACATGACTCATTTGCCGTTCTCGCACCCTTGGGCACCTTTGTCGAGATTGGAAAGTCGGACATTTACAAGAAGAACGAGATCAGCATGGTTCCATTCGACAGCAGTGTCACCTTTGCCGCCGTGGACTTGACTGTTCTCGCTCGTCTCAAGCCGGCCAAGATGCAGCAGACGCTCAGCAAAGTACTCTCGCTATTCGAGGATGGTACTCTCAAGCCCGTGGCACCAATCAGGGACATGCCCATGACCGATATCGAGGAGGCCTTCCGCTTGATTCAGTCAAGGAAGCACACTGGCAAGGTGGTACTTGTTTGCGACGATCAAACGCAGGTCAAATTGACCGCGGCACGCACCAAGCCTCTGCAGCTAGAGAAGAACGGCACATATGTCATCTCGGGAGGCCTTGGTGACCTGGGGCGGAGGATTGCAAGGTTTCTTGCTGCCCATGGTGCGGGACATGTGGTCACCTTGTCTCGGAGGTCGCTCCAGGAAGACGATCGAGTGGCGTTCGAGGAAGAGCTTCGTATTCTAGGAGCCGAGCTGCATGTCGTTGGTTGCGATGTTACTGACGAGGCATCAGTTCAAGCAGCCGCTGCCAAGTGCACCACAAGTCTGCCGCCAGTGAAGGGTGTGATCCATGCGGGCATGGTTCTCAGAGTAAGTACACGCCACAAAGCTTCTCGCTCACGGGTGATGCTGACGTTCACTTTCCCAGGACCACCCCCTAGAGATCATGTCCCATGATGACTACATGACAGCCACCAAGCCCAAGGTCCAAGGCACTCGACATCTCAATGACGCCTTTGGCGCTGCCGGCTCCCTCGACTTCTTCATTATGCTGTCTTCCATCACCTCGATCCTCGGAAAGTCTGGCCAGTCCAACTACGCAGTGGGAAACGCCTACCTGGACGCCTATGCGGAAAGCAAGAAGACGGCCAAGTGCAGGTACATTGCCCTGAATCTGGGCGCAGTGGACGGGTCCTTGGCCATCACCTCTCTGCCGGCTGCACAGCAAGAGGTCATGCGAAGAGGCTCGGTTCTCATGTCGTTTGATGAGGTCTTTGCTGTCCTGAACTACGCCATGAGCCCACAGGCGAGCGAGAACGGCCTTCACCAGCTGATCCTCGGTTTCGACCGAAAGTCAATGGAGTCGGTTCACGACGAAGCGGCCCTCGCAAACCCCATGTTCAGCCAGATCCCCCACCTGGACGAGGAGGGTGAGACGCCAAAGGAGGCCGCCACGGACGTTGGTAAGATGCTCCAGCAAGCAGCCTCGCCCCAGGAAGTTGAGAGCATCGTCGTTGGCGGCATCTGCCAGCGGTTTGCCATGTTTACAGCCACCCCTGTCGAGGAGATCAGCCCTGATGTCTCCATGGACAGCTTCGGCCTCGACTCCCTCGTCGCCATTGAGTTGAAGAACTTCCTCGTGCGGACCTTTCAGGCTACACTGCAGACGTCCGAGGTGCTTGACGCTCCCAACATTGTCAGCCTGGCCAAGACCATCATCCTCCGGTCGAAGCTGGTCTCTCGGGAAACCGATGCGGCCACCATCGAGAAGGAGGACAATGTCGTCGCTGAGAAGGCCATGAAGCCCATGCTTGATAGTGCAGCCCAAGGCGCGAACCACAGCTTCCACTGCTGCAAAGCATCCAAGAAGCTCAACAAGATGCCTCTTGTCGACTTTGACACCATGCTCGACGAATACCTCGACAAATCCAAAATGTTCTTCTCTTCTGAGGAGTTTGCAACGCTGGAGAGGGACGTGGCAGAGTTCAGAAAGCCGGACAGCACAGGCCGCAAGTTCTACAGCCGTCTCTACGACCAGGCTCACGATCCCGACATTGAGAACTGGCAGGAAAAGTACTTTCTGCAGAGCATGTATCTCCAGCGCCGCATGCCGTTGGCCCCCTTTAACAATTTCATGGCATTCCATCCGCAAGGCGAGATGGGCCATACCCAAGCGGAGCGCGCTGCTCTGCTTGCCAACATTGCCTTCAAGTGCAAGCAGGACCTCGAGGCAGACCGGTGGGAGCCCATGGCTTACATGTTCATCGCCAATTGCACCGATCTCTGGCAGTACATCTTCAACACGGCTCGCCTGCCCGGTGTGCCCTTGGATCGCATGGCCAAGTTCCCCGGGAATGACTACGCGGCCGTGTTGCACCGCGGACACATATTCAAGGTTGAACTCCGAGATGGAGACCAGAATGTGTCTGTGGAGGCCCTGACCAATACTTTCAACAGCCTCTTGAGCCGAGACGTCTCGGAAGACGACTGGACTAGTATGCTGAGTGCCGACGATCGGACATCCTGGGCAGAGGTGTGTTTGATAACTGTACTATTCAAGTTTTGTGCTACTGCTAACCGGCTGTCACGCAATAGAACCGACAAGCACTCATGGAACTCGATCCCATGAACAAGGCAACCATAGACATGGTGGAGGCTGCGGCTTTCCTGGTGTGCCTCGACGAGACGGAACCAACCGATGCCGAAGGGCGCATCCATGACATGATGATGCTCAAGGGCTTCAATCGCTGGGTGGACAAGTCCATTGCATTTGTCGTGTGCAAGAATGCCACTTCTGGCTTGTACGTCGAGCACACCATGATTGATGTAAGTCTGCTTCTGACTCTCCACCCCAACTGCATCGCTGACCATTCATAGGCAATGACTCTGCTCGCTTTGCAGACGGACATTGTCCAGGGCATCCTGACGCATAAGCCAGTCCGAGCAGTCAACGGACACACTAATGGAGTGGGCCATCTGCCAGAGGAGTTCCCTCTCAGGACAACACCGGCCCTGGACCAGCGCGTCCTCCATGTGAGGCAGCGATTCGAGACCGAGATCGCCAAGTTTGGCTACCGGGACGTGGTCCTCTCCGACTTTGGCAAGGACATTCTCCTCGATCGCCATCTTCCCATCAAGGGCATCTACGACCTCATGTGCCTGCTCGCCAACTACTACTACTACGGATACAACGCCCAGTCGTGGGAGGCCATCTCCATGTCGCACTACCACAAGGGCCGGCCCGACATTGTGCAGGTCAACACGCCCATCACTGCCAACTTCTGCACCGTGGCGGACGACGAGAGTCTCCCGGCGCGCGAGAGGTTCGACCTGATGGTCCAGGCCGCCAATGCCCGCAACCAGACCATCAAGGATGCCTTCAACGGTCGATGCTACCAGCGCACGCTTAGGGCGCTCGAGCTCTGCGCAGAAGAGGGCGAGGAGCTGCCTGACTTGTTCAAGAACCCGCTCTACGACCAGACTGTCGAGCCGAACCAGATGTTTTCCAACACGGATGGGCTCTCCCCTGAGTCTTGTTTCATCATGCAGAATCCCAAGCGGTTCTGGATGACCTACTATGTCACTGATGGAGGGTGAGTACTTTTGTCTTGGATTTGCCTTTGTAACACGCTGACCAATCTCAAGATCGCATTTCTCTGTTATTACCGGCAAGGAGGAGGTCGTTGCGTGGGCGAACAGCTTGCAACGGGCCTCGGCCGTCATGAAGAAGTTGATCGATGCGGTATGAGAATAATGATTTCTATAATAGTCCGTATTCAAGGAGTTAGGACGGCGTCTGTGCCTTAGCTTTGTTGAAAATATGCTCCATTGGTGCACATCAAGTACGTGACCTGATGTTCCCGTGGTTGACGCTGCGAACACTTGAAGGACGCCAACCACGAACTTGTGCCGACTATATCCAGACATATCCATTCAGTCTGTATCCACGTGGTTCTGGCTGCACTTTGGCGCTTGCCATGCCACAGATCACCTTCAACAGTACTGCTCGAGAAAAGGAGGTCCAAGTTCTGGCAGATTTTGTCTAAAGTCAATTCGCGAGACGCCTCACGCGGGCGACTGGTCTTTTGCGACTGGATAGCTAGCCCAAAAAGCTCTCTCGCGAGTACCCCAACTTCGTGGAGATGGGCAGTCCATGCCTTAATGACCTCCAAAGAACCAATTGTCCCCCCTGGGCAGCGATGACTGCGATGAGCGCCTTCTCAGGCCTCCAACCTTTATGGCTCAGTTAGATAGTCCTCCTGCAGGGCACAAGAGGTTTCGCGATGTTTGGGTTAGCGAATGATCAAGCGGTATCACCACAGATAACTGTGACAACTCATATCAACCTCGAATTCGAGAAAGGCCGGGTTCTTTGTTTGCGCCACCGAAGCGATCAAGATCACGGGCGAAGTACGTATCGACCACATTATCGACGTGGGACCCTCTCTGACTTTTGCAGTGTCGTCTGAAGATTTCGAGTGCAATGGAATCCTCAACTGCATTTTAAGCCACATTGTATGGAAACAGGCCATCGTGTCGCGCTCCACGTACGTCTACTAACCTAAGTTCTAACTACCCTATATAGCAGAGGGTCAGTTATGCCACCTCTTAAGTAGAGGTTACTTATTTGATAGTAGTTTAACATATTAATTAATTTTTTTGCTCATTATTAACACCTAAGACTAGGTACTATAACAAAAATAGTTTAGTGATATTAACAGTAAAATAAATTAATATTATCGCGTTAGATCTCTTCTGCCTGCCCCTAATGATACAAAGCATGACGCCAACAATCGAGAATCAACCAGTCTTCTCATTTCTCACCGACTTCCATTCAACATCATTTGAGCCAGTGCTCTCGGGAGCTGCTCCCATCTCACTCTCTTGCGATGGTTGGATGCGATCATCCGGAATCCATCGTCGCTGCATACCGAAACTCAGAATCAGAGATGCACACGCCACCGCAATTGGCAAAATAAAAGCCTCAGTGACGGCGTAGCTGAAAGCCTTGCGGACCAGTGGCAGCATCGCCGCCGGCACCGACTTGGCCAGGTCAGACGCGCCCGCGTCCTGTATAGCCTCTACCGTGACCCCGTCTACCGCGTCCGCCAGTCGCTGGAATAGCTCGCTCGAGAAGAGGTTGGAGGCAATGCTCAATCCCACCGCGCCGCCGAGCAGGCGGAAGAAGACGACGAGGGCACACGCGGTGGGCATGTCATTGTCCGGAAGGACGACTTGCACCGCAATGAACGGCACTTGCTCCGCGAGTCCGATGCCGGCACCGCTGAGAATTTGGAAGCCGATCCACTCCCCCATGGAGGAGTCTACGTCCAGCTCGCGAAGGAGAACACACCCGGCAATGAAGACACTCGTGCCCAGCCACATGAAGGGAACGTAGTGGCCCCTGGAGCTGATGCACGCGCCCGTGACGATGATGGCGACGCTGCACGGGATTCCGTACGCCAGGCAGCGGACGCCCGAGGTCACGGCGTTGGTCCCCAGTGCAGCCTGGAAGTAGAAGGCGAGATAGTACATGTGTGTATTGTGCGCCATGGACATGAGCATGTTGAAGACGCAGCTGATGGCTACCGTGCGCTGCGACAGGATCCGCGTGGGAATCGTGGCCCTGTGTCATTTGAACTCTGTTAACCGCGGACAGCTTTTCAAGGCGATGGGGAGTTGCCGAATTGGACTTACTCTTCCTTCTTTTTCGCTTGTAGAGCTGCGAACGCCGATATGAGGACAACAAAAACAATAATGCACACGTACACTCTTGGGTTGGACCAGGAGTACTTGCTCCCACCCCATTGCAAGGCAAAGAAGAGTGTCACTAGGCCGGCGATGAGTAGAAATCCACCGAGGAGGTCGAGTTTCTTCAGCTTCTCGCGCAATGAGAGCCGCTCGTGAACAGGAGTCTTGTTCTTGAGAACTTTCCACGCGATTGCAAAGGTCACAGCCCCGAGCGCTAGACAGGAGGTCAGACATGATCTCTTGGAAAGACGGCAACCAATCGCTTACGCAGATTCAGCCTATAGAATGTTAGACGTGTGACTTCAAGTGTCACGGTATTGAACGTACCAGAAGCAGAATCGCCACGTGAGCTTGGGCTCGTCCGTAATCAGCCCTCCCAGCGTTGGCCCCAGGACGCCAGCAACCCCATACATGCTCGTGACGAGAGCCATCCCAAAAGGCCTTGCTCGTAAAGGGACCGATCGGCCATAGACTGCCAGGCTCCCGCAAAGTAAGCCGGCGGCTCCTATGCCAGCGACGACTCTTCCAGTAATCAGGGCGGCGGAGATGGGCGCTGCAGCACAAACGATCGAGCCTGCTTCGACTTTGCGAGAGGATGTTAATCACACATGCCCGGAACTCGTCGATTGGCGGGTCTTAGAAGCTCTTACAGACAAAGATGGAGCTCAAATAGAGTATTCTAGCATCGAACAAGCTATAGAGACGACCAAAGGTAGGTTGGAACGCCATCTCCGTCAGGAGGTAAGCACTGCCGTACCATGGGACGTCGTCGAGTCGCCCAAAGTCACTCGTAATTTTGGGGATAGCCGTCGCTAATGACTGTTAGCAGCGAGGTCCGTTATCAAAATTGTCCGTGTCGTCTCACCGAGGATGCTCCCATCAATGGCTATCATGAAAGTGGCCATCGTGAACACTGTGGACAGGAGGGCAAGCTCCCGTGGTGTCGCATATTGAGGAGCGGGAGGCTCATCCTCCACTGTCATCGGAGCAACTGCCTTGTCGGTCTCGAGATGCCCTGGACATGTCTCAACTTTCTCTTTCCCAGTCTGGTCAGTATGTAAGTCGTTGCTGTTGGGTGCCTTGCCGTTGACATCAGAGACTGGCTGCACGGCAATGTCCAGACTTCCTCTGCTTTCCGGAGCCATTTGATAGCAACCCAAGTTTGGAGAAATAGCTGTGGAACGAATATACCGAGCTCAAGACCCTGATGAAAAGGGCACTCGATTCCAATCTTTCCCGGCCTGGCTTTGGGGCTGTGCTATACACCGTGAGAACTGGACAAGCATGGCCCGTAGTGCCGTTGAAAAAGTAGAACCTGTACGTAGCACGTGGAGTATTGGATGGGGCGTGTCTTGAAGTCTTGGCTCCAGGGGTCTCTCGCACCCGAAATCCTTTGCAGCTTACAACTCGCAGTCTGCAACATCTGTGTAAGCGTATGCATGCACGCTTGAGCCACTTCACCATCCCGGTCTAGTCTCCCCGCGACACATTTGCATGATAGCTCACCTGCAGTCTGATCCTGCAACGTGGGAGAAATCAATCACATAAAAAGGGGGGTCGCGCCGTCGGCCCAGGCGGCATGATGCTGGCTTACATCGTATAGCCTAAAAGCCGGCAGCATCCTCTGCTCTCACCGCACCGCTTGATTGATGCAAGCTGTCGGCGATTATCCTAGTCAAGCTGACCAGGACCCCGGGCAGCTGTGGCGTAGGCGGCCCGAGCGCGACCAAGGCGATTGTAATACACGACCAGTGCACAACAACTCTGCATGGTGCCATGGCCAAGCTCATCTCGTTCACTCGCGTGGCTTGGCGTGCACGATGAAGCATGTAAGGGACCGCTTACTATAGTTTTTATTAAGATAGATAAGTCAACCTGAATGCCTATGCATGACTTGAATAGGTCCAAGCTATAGTGGCCCGCTGGCAACTTACCACACCAGCACATATGATCCCCTCTACCTTTTCCCTCGCGCTCAGCATCGTAGGTTTAGCCTTGGCGAAGCCTACGTGCAACAAGTGCAAAGCCTTTCCCGGAGGTCCAGGCTGGCCATCAAGTCAGCAATGGTCTCAGCTCAATGAAACAGTCGACGGCAGGCTCATCAGGCCAGTGCCCCCCGGCGGCGTCTGCCACGAGGGACAGCCAAACTACGATGAAGACCAGTGTCCCCAGCTCATTGAAGACTGGCGTGTCTTTGAGTTCCACGCCGCGGACCCCGTCTCCGTGATGTGGGATCTCTGGGCCAACTATACCTGCCTCCCCCTCGAAGGCTTCTCTTGCAGTGGTGCTGGCTATCCGTCGTACGTGGCCAACGTCACCACGGCGCAGCATGTCAAGGCTGCCGTCGACTTTGGTGAGTCCATCAGGGATCATGCACTCGACTGGAATAATCCCGACTGACATCCACAGCCCGTGATGAAAATGTCCGCTTGGTCGTGAAGAGCAGCGGGCACGACTACCTCGGCCGCTCCGTCGCACCTGGTTCCCTCTCCATCTGGACGCACCACCTCAACAAAATCGAATACCACGAGGACGAGTTTAAGCTCGCTGGATCAGGCAAGGTCATACCTGGTGATGCCATCACGGCCGGAGCGGGCTCCCCGATGATCGACCTCTACACCGTTGCCGATCAGCACAACCGAACGGTTGTAGGCGGCGGTGGTAAGACTGTCAGTCTGGGTGGCTTTGTCACAGGAGCCGGCCACTCCATTCTTGCTCCTCACTATGGGCTTGCGGCCGACAATGTGCTGCAGATGGAAGTCGTTACCCCTGCTGGAGACATCCTCACGGTCAATGAGGACCAGCATGCGGACTTGTTCTGGGCCATCCGTGGTGTGAGTACCCAGTCTCTGCACACTGTTCCGCTCATGCAAGCTCTAACATGTATCAGGGAGGCGGGTCGACCTTTGGCGTCCTTACATCAATCACCATCATGACGCATCCCCCAAAGAAGCTGTCCATGGTCCTCTTCATGGCGTTTACCGTCCCCGAAGCCCCCTTCACTTTGGACCTCGTCACCTGGGCCATGTCCCAGACCCCTTACCTTTCTGACTCGGGTCTTTCGGGATATCTCATGGCTACAATAGACTCTCCGCCGCCTATCCCGGTTCCTGGCGTTCCTGAGAGGGTGGCTGGTCTTATGGGCAAAACAATCATTCTTGACACCCACGACTCGGCCAAGATTGACGAGATCTTCCGCCCACTAAACGAGACCATCCAGGAGCGTTGGAAGGGACAGGTGCATTTATTGACCATTGTCCAGCCGTTCGACTCCTTCTTTGACTGGTACTCTGAGAACTACGACGATGGTCAAGCTGGTGGCTCCACATATCTCATTTCACGACTGTTGGACAAGGAGACAGTGACCGGTGACTTGGATGCGCTTTCCAACGCACTGGAGCCCATTCTCATCGACGATGGATGGCTCGGCACGTACTTGGTTGCCGGGAAAGGAGTCAACGAGGCAAAGCCAAGAGGGGGAAGCAACGCCGTCCACCCGGCATGGAGAAAGGCATACGTTCATGCGAGTGAGTACATGTCCTAATCATTGCGAGCATGAGGATCCCCATTAACAGCTCAAAGTCACCTGGCTTGGTTGGGGCTACCCTCCGTTCGACGAGACAGCCGATGAGCGGACAAGAAAGATCCTCGACGAGAGATTTGAGGCCCTTCGCGAGCTGACGCCCGACGGTGGCTCGTATATGAGTGAGGTAAGCTACCTTTTTGCCAACATGGGTTCAATTTGAGCAGGCAAAGACAGTGCTGATGATTCTGATCTTATAGGGTTTTCCGTTTGAGGACGACTGGCAGCACACCTTCTGGGGAGATAACTACGAGCGTTTGTCCGAGATCAAGCGTGAGCTCGACCCGCAGGACGTCCTGTGGTGTACACCGTGCGTAGGCAATGAAGGTTGGGATGAGAAAGACGACGGTCGTCTTTGCAGGATCAAGTAGTCTGTAACGTAGAAACAAACATCCCCAGCCCCGCGCGAATGAAAGATACACAAGGGCGCGAGTATCGTTAGTGTTCGATAGACCTGCCATAAGATGGACTTGCTGCAATCGCCCGTGCTTAATCTAGGGATACAATCGATCCTTAGGTCATAGAGGGCGACCGTAGCACATGGACAATCTATGACGGCCGGGGTACTTATTAATACGACACTTCGTGGATTAGCAAATATATTACTCTTTCCCCGGCTCTTATAAGTTCCTCCTATAAGTATTATTCACGGGAGAAGGGGAAAAGCTAGTATCTAAAGTAAATATATAGAAAGCACAAAGGGGGCTTAAGCTACTATACTTTTTATTACTTTATATTTCCTCTTCCTTACTTTAATAATATTATATATTAATCGATAAATTATTAGTTAATACTTTTAATAAAACGTAAGGTAAGGTACGTACGCTAGCTTCTTGTATTTACGAAACTATACTAATATATAGAGCGGTTAGAAATAACAGGCTTACTATAGAGTCTAAAATATTAATTTAATTAATACTAATTTATATTTAAAGGCCGCCGAAAATAATTTATATCTAAGTTTTACATAAGTCTAGGGTAATATATAGGAGTTTAAGTTAGCCCTAGGAATTCTCCGCGCTTTAATATAAGTATATAACTATTAGTTATTTATAGTTATTAAATTATAGTTCTTTTTAAAGAGCCTTATACTTTATTACTTTAATAAACTAACCTTTCCTCTTTTTATTAATTTATATTATTTTTAATATTTTATAATATATTCATTAAGAATAGGGGACTAATCTCCCTATTAAGTGCCTTACGAGGTCCTCTTATAGAGCCCTTATAGGGATCTACTTAAGACTTATTATAGGGGTCTATAATACTTATAAATCTAGTGCTTCTATAGCCTTCTATAACCTTCTAAAGGCTAGCACTACTACACTCGCTATTATAAATTAAACCTTTTATAACCTTTTATTAGGTTCGGTTTAACCCACTCTTTTATAGGGCATTATAGCGCTCTCACGCCTATAAATATAGGCCTTTATTTATTATTAGATAGTGAATAAATAACTTAATTAGGAACTAAGTTCTTTACTTATTACTATACTTACCCTAAAGGGTTCTCGGATTATTACGATTTATTTACCCTATGCTTAAAAGAGTATTATACTTTAATAAGTTATAAGCCCGGATTACTAATTTCACGAATCGATTTATAGAAAAACTTTTTCCCTAGTTATTAGAGCTTATTAAGCTTTTTTCGGTACTTTCGGTCACTCGATTACTAATCGACTCGACTATACGGAAGAACGCTAGGTTTATTAAACTTCAATTTACCTACCCTATAAAGTTACGCGACTTCTTTCTAAGGTATTACCTAAAAGATAACCTTATTTCTCGATTTCTTACTAAGATCTCGAGATACGGATCTACTTACCCTATAGTAGGTCTCACCCCCGATAATACCTCCCTTACTAAGGGATTATCTAGCCTGCCCTATAGGCTATATTTTTACCTATAGAAAATCAAGGCCTTACCGCCTAAGGCTAGGTATAGCCCTTCCCTTAAGACTTAACTATATCTTATTACTTTAATCTAACCTACCCTAGATTACTTACTACCGAATAGATCGAATAATAACTCATGGTATAGTACGCCTTAATTAGCTAATTATAAGAGGGCTTTTTAAGGCTTTAAGCTATGACGTTCGGGTTAGGGTTAGGGTTAGGGTTAGGGTTAGGGTTAGGGTTAGGGTTTAGGGTTAGGGTTAGGGTTAGGGTTAGGGTTAGGGTTAGGGTTAGGGTTAGGGTTAGGGTTAGGGTTAGGGTTAGGGTTAGGGT